TCCTGCAGCTGAATGTTGGCAAGATGAAGCCATACTCTGGCTCCTGTCAACATCTTCCCTCCTGCGAGTCTGAACTCCCCAATCTCAGACTTTCCAAACCCATGCACAACTTAGGTGTCAGGTTCGATCCCCAGGTTTCCTTTCTCCCACACAACCGTTCCCTGACCAGGACCATTTTTTTCCCACCCTGGTCACATTGCCCTCCTCTATCCGTACCTCACAACCGATGCAGCTGAAACCCTCGTTCACCCTTTTGTCACTTCTCGGCTGGACTCTTCTAATGCTCTCCTCGCTGGTCTCCCCATGAAGGGGACCCCGCTACCCCGCATGAAGGGCGCTATATACAGGCAAGTTATTGTTGTATGTGCAATCCGCGTGTGTGAATGTGTGTGCGATTCGGAGTGTGTATGGCCAGTGTGTACATATGTGCAACCATTTGTGGTTGGTGTGAACATATGTGGGCTTGTGTGTGGTTAGTGTGCATGTGGATTCCTGTAGTATAGTGGTCAGAGCACTCGCCTCGCAAGTGAGAGGACCCGGGGCAGGGTAAAATGTTTACCCAAGGTTCCTTACACAACATGCCTCTGTTTACCTAGCAGTAAGTAGGAACCCGGTTGTCAGTCGATTGGCAGATTGCTTTTCCTGGGGTAATAATCCCTTTAAAAAAATAATAATTTGGTCGTTCAATCTATGACTGTTTGTAGGACACTGCTGTGCAATATTGGCTGCCGCGTTTTGGCCACAAAATACACAGTCAATGCACTTTACAGTATATTCTGTAAAGCATTTTGAGACGTCTCGAAGAAATGAAAAGGCGCAATATCAAATGTAAGGATTATTATTATATTATTTTGGTCAAGTCCTACCTCTTCAAATGCTCTCCTCCCCAACAAAATTAGTCACTCGCTTCACGTGGGGAACATCGCTGTGCATAAATCACCTGCCTGCCTCATTTACCTACAAAATTCAGAGTCACTACACTTCAGAGTAAAATCTTGATGAAGCTTTGAGAAGTCTCAACGAGGTGAAAAGGCGCTGATTCAACAACAACAACAAAGTTCATTTGTATAGCACCTTTCACGTCAGGAGGATGTCCCAAGGACTGGAAAGTCAGGGATCTGCACCCGAGCTGGTGGTTGGGATCAGGAGGGGGGGAGGGGAGGGTTGACCGTAGGCATGGTCGAAGAGGAGGGTCTTGAGATGGGTCTTGAAGGAGGTAAGGGAGGGGTCGAGGTGGAGGGACTGTAGGATGGAGTTTCAGAGGGAGGGGGCAGAGAGGCTGAAGGCCCGCCCACCAATAGTGGGGCGGGCAAAGGGGGAAGTGAAGTAGGCCAGAGCCCGCTGAGCGGAGGGAGAGGGGTTAGGAGGTCACAGAGGTAGGGAGGAGCGAGGCCGTGGAGGGCTTTGAATGTGAGGACTAGGTCTTCAACTATACCCTGTGAGTGATGGGGAGCCAGTGGAGCTGGGCGAGGATTGGGGTGATAAGGCTGCAGAGCCTGATGCAGGAGAGGGCACGGGCTGCAGAGTTCTAGATGATCCGCAGCCTGTGGTGGATCTAGTTGGGTTGGCTGACAAGCAGGGAGTTTGCGCATCAAAAATGTAAGGGTTAATTTTCCAACAGCAAGGACCAGTTGCTGTGTTTCACACATGCTCTTACACATCGCTTTAGATTGAAGCTAGACCAATTGAGGCTCCTTTCCGTATCGACCCCCTTCGCCACGGTTTAAGGAATAAACCGAGGCAGCCAGTCCCCTGAAGTCCTGTAGCGTAGTGGTTAGAGCACTCGGCTCACAAGCGAAAGGAACTGAGTTTGATGCCCGGCCAGGACAAAATCTTAGGCAAGTTTCCTTACTCCACACACCTGTTTACCTAGCAACAAGTAAGAACCCCGTTGTTAGTCAATAGGTGGATCACTTTCCAGGGGTAATAATTGCTCAAAAAAAGTCGCTCAATTCACCACTGTTTGTGGGACACTGGTGTGCACAATTAGCTGCTGCGTCTTGCCCACAAAATTCACACGCTTTTTGCCCACACAATCCAAGTTACTATATATTCTGTGAAGTGCTTTGAGGTGTCAATGACATGATAAGGTGCTATATCAAATTGAAGGATCATTATTATTATATTATTTAGTAAAAGGAAAAAAGGGTTGAGAAACTACACTGGACAAGGGCAGGAAGGAGAAAAGGGAGAGAGAGAGACACACACACAGAATGTGTGTGCATGTTAATCTCTTCAAAGCAAAAAATTCCAAGACTCCCTGTTTAGCTGCTCTTCCAGTTTGTCTTGCAGAATACCGTCAGGCCTCGATTAACTCGGTTGCCCCGTGAGACAGCTTTGGGAGGTCAGTTATGCGAATCCCCTTCACATTTGTGTTTGGATAGGCCATCTGTGCAAATGCTAGCCAGCCTGTCCGCAAGCATCCCAGACCCAGTCCCATTCACTCCTTTTATTCAAAATAAATCGATTTAAATTCAGTGATTCGTGTGTATGTATGTGTGTGTGATGTGTGAGTTTTTTTCTGTCTCTATATTTTTTTCTACTGGTTTTACTTTACAAAACTCTACTCTAGAACTCTTTTCTTTCGCCCACCTTAGACAAGTTTCCTTACTCCACTCCCCTGTTTACTGAGTAGTAAGTAGGAATGCTTTTATTATTCGATTGGCAGATCACTTTCTGGGGGTAGTAATCCCTTTTTTTAAAAAATTGTAATTTGGTTACTCAATCCATGACTAAACAGTTTGTGGGACACTGCTGTGTGCAATTGGCTGCTGCGTTTCACCCACAGTATATTCTGTGAAGCTCTTTGAGACATCTTGAAGCCGTGATAAGGCACTATATCAAATGCAAAGATTATTATTATTACAGAGGTCTCCCTAGTTTTGCATCTAGTGCAAATCTTTTAGGTGCTCTGGGTTACACATGTGGGATCTCTTAAAGATGGTCGGTTAAGATGTGTTGCAAATTGAGCAAGGAATCTTTACACACAGGCGTTTGTTCCCATCAAACCCTGGTCTCTCTCTCTTTCCTCCACTCCAGAGAGCAGGAACGTTGTGTGGTTGGGAATCCTCTCTCTCTCTCTCTCTGGTGGCTGGGTACATTTTTTAAAATGTGTTTGGGACCTATAATGTGCATATATTTTTTGTATAAAAATGATTTAGAAATCCACCAAAAATAACAAAATGGCCTGTTAACTAAAACTGGTGCCAGTGTTTATCCAAATCTGATGCTTTGTGGGATACTCTGGGATATCAAATCTGATACTCAAATCAATTGAGTATCCACTCACTATCTCTCTCTCTCTCTCTCTCCCTTTCTCTCTCTAGTATTTCACAAGCTCTGGGGTTTTTTGTGTCTCTTTTTCTCCTCCTGCTGATCCCTCGCTTTCTCTCCCCCTTCCCTGTGGCTCTATTGATGCTCTGACTGTGTCTCTTGGGGCCCCTCAAGGGGGTGGACTCTCGGATTGAGGAGAGAGAAAGGGAAAGGGGTGTGAATGGGGTGGGGGTTTGCTGAGATTCAGAGAAACTGCTGAAACAGTCAGCCTGGGAACACGAGAGAGCGATGGTGGCGATACAAAGCAGGATCCGTTCAGGTATTTATTATACATCTCTGTGTGTAGCTAAACCTTGTGAGCGAGTGAGGAGAGGAGAGGAGAGGAGAGGAGAGGGGGGTTGGGTGAGAGAGTGAAATCTGATCAAAGTTTGTGAGCAGGACTTTGCTACAGTAATCACAGCTGCAACACAGATCTCCCAGTTTTTTCCCCGTCCTAAATTTGCAGGAAATGTCGCCAGTGGCTGTATCCAGAGTTGGGAGAGAAAAGTCACATTTACGTTAAACAGTGACTCTCTCTCTGATCCGCTCCACATAATCTGAGTGAAGTGAACAAGACGGAGGTATTCGTTGCACTGTTCAATTTGCTGTTGCAAAAAAGAGAAAAATAAAGAAAGGGAAAGGCAATATTAGTTGCATGAGAGACAGATGAAGTGTGTGAGCGAGGATCCAGCACCAGCCACAGGGATTTCTCTCTCTGAATAATGGCTCCCTGACCCCTCCACAAAGCCATCTGTCCCTGTGCTGCAATGGACGCTGCTGTGCTGAGCTGTGCTGTGCTGAGCTGTGCTGAGAGGCAGTGCGGGGCTCCAGCAGCACAGGGCCGGGGCTGGAGAACACAGAGCAGTGATTTCTCTGCAACATGTGTATGATCTGGTCAAAAATACACGTGTGTTGTAGTGTGTGCTGTATATTGTGTGATATATATATAAATACGATGTGTGTGTGTGACGGGTATTGTATCTTCTGTGTGTTTTCGTATAGACATAGATGTGGGGTGTACTGTATATTGTGTGCTTTTATGTAGTTATGTGCATGCACGCGGTCTGTGTATTATGTTTTTATATAAAAATACACGGGGGTGTGCTGGGGGCGAATTGAATATGGTGTGCGTTTTTATATATAAATAGATTGGTGTGGTATACTGTAAATTGTGTGTTTATGTATAGGTAGGTTGTGTTAGTGTGTAGGTATGCTGTATATTGTGTGTGTGTGTGATTCTATAAATAAATGTGTGTGGTTTTACTGTATATTGTGCTTCTTTATATCTAAACAGATGTATGTGTGCGTCTGGATAAACTGAATGTAGTGTGTGCTTGTATATATAGATATATGTGTGGGGGATGTACTGTGTATTGTGTGTTTATATATAAATAGATTGTGTGGGGTATCTATATATTGTGTATTTTTATATATAAATGTATGTGTGTGTCTGGGTAATCTGAATATCTGCATTGTTATATATAAATTGTGTGGGGTATACTGTATATTGTGTTTTTATATATAAATAGATGTGGGGTAAACTACTATGTGTGTTTATTGTTTTTTATATATATTAGATGTGTGTGGGTATAATGTATATTGTGCGTGGATTTATAGATAAATAAAAATCTTGTGTTTGTGGGCATAATATATTGTGTCTGTATATGTATATATTTTATAATTGTGTGTAGGAGGGTGGTATATTTTATAATTCTATATCTCTGTGGGGAGGGCAGGTGGTATTTTATCATGTAGGGGGATAGTATATCTTATAATTGTATATGTGTGTGGGGGGGGTCTGGTGTAGAGCGTATATGGTGCGGGAAGGGGAAAGGTAGATTGGGTGCGCGTGGGGAGGGGGGAGAGCGTGTGAGAGTTTGGAAGATTACATTTTAGGAATGTGAACCGGAAGGTGCCCGTGTGCCAAGACTTTCTCAGCCCATTGTTGAGAGAGAGAGAGAAAGCATCGTAGAGTGGCTGTGATTTTTGTTTCCTCTTCCTCGCTCTTCTCTCAATTCCACTCAACTAATATGAAAACAGATATTTTATTTTCTCATGACTATTCAAATGATCCAATTATTGTACAGAAAGAGGTTGCCGACAGAATGATGGGACATGCAGACATGTACGAGTGTTTGTGTGTGTGTGTGGATGGGTCTCTCTCTGCCGCGGGTGTCTCAACAGTTTGTGATGTTTTGGGGTGACTCTCTGTGCTGTGTTTGTGTGCATATATGTGCGTTTCTGTGTGCTGTGAGTGTGTCTGTGTGCTGTGGGTGTGTCTGTGTGCTGTGGGTGTGTCTGTGTGCTGTGGGTGTGTCTGTGTGCTGTACGCGTGCACGTGTGTGTCTGAACTGTGTGTGTCTGTGTACTGTATGTGTGTGTATGTCTCTGTGCTGTGAGTGTGCACGTGTGTGTCTGAACTGTGTGTGTCTGTGTACTGTATGTGTGTGTATGTCTCTGTGCTGTGAGTGTGCATGTATCTATGCTGTGCGCAACCATCTGCATTTCTTGTGTGCTGTGCTGGCGTGTGTGCACGTCTCTGAACTGTGTACATGCGTGTGTCTGTGCTGTGTGTGAGTGTGTCTCTGTGATCATGTGTGCGCTGTGCATGCACACCTGTGTCTGTGTTGTGCACAAGGGATTGTGAGCGTGTTTGTGTTTTCTGTGTGTGTGTGTGTGTGTGTGTGCCTCTGAGTGCTGTGCATGCGAGTGTCTACATGTGTATGTATCGCTCTGCTGAGTGTTAGGAGATTAAGTAAAAGTGATGTTCGGGATGTGCGAACTGCGATGCAGTTGATAACCTGAGAAGTATCCCCAATGGAAGTTTTTCCCTTTTTTGGTCCGGTCCGGTCCGGTCCGGTGAGGAGAGAACAAATTCACTTGGAGGTCAGAGCTCAAATGCCAATCTACCGACCTCGCGAGAGGTCAGAAGCTGTACAGTGGGGGAGCGGGAGAGGAGGATGGACTGGAGGGATTGGCGGCCCTTTCACACTGCAGCAGATGTGAATGGCTTTGTATTGAGTGGAGGCTGAGGGCACCTCCAATGCTCTTGTTATTGTAGCATTTGTGTAGCTCACTAGCGACATCCAGTGGTACAGTTGGAGTACTGCAATTGTGCAGCCTTCATAATTGTTTTGGTCAGCGCGGTGTCTGACACATGCAGAACCCAACCAAACTGAGAATTCCCTACATCCCACCTGCACATGGAAATCCCAGAGACAGGTTGTTGGAATGGAATGCGCACTCTCTCCCTGGAGGGGCACATCCTGCTTAGCTAATTCTGGAAAGTATTAGGCCCAGGCAGGAACCAAGGCTTGGAGACCCCCGAGTGTGCGTTGGGGTACTGCTGGAATCTAACCGGGTAAAATCGTTTAGCTTGCCATTGCTATCGCCGTTTTCATAATGATGATAATAATTAGTAATGCAATTTGTCATGGTTCACATTATTTGATGTAACACTTTTTCCATTAGCAAAGTGCTTCACAGGAATCACTGTAAAGTTTAGTTAGTGGCTGTGTATTTTGTAGGTGAATGTTGCAGCCAGATTTGCACAGGACAATGCCCCACAAACAGCCATGAAGTAAGTGACCAAATTTTAGGATTGCTGCCAAGGCACCAAAAGAAACTCCCTTCTCTTTTCAAATAGCACAGTAAAATCTTTAACGTCCACCTAAACAGGCACAGACAGGGATTTCGGTTTAACATTAATGATAATCCTTGCAATTGATATAGTGCCTTATCACATCATTGAGATGTCCTGTCTCAAAGTGCTTCACAGAATATACTGTAAAATAAATTGACTGTATATTTTGTGGATGAAATGTGGGAGCCAGTTGCGCACAGCAGTGTCCCACAAGCAGTCATGGATTGAAAACCAATTTATTATTAATTTTTAACGAATTTTTTTTAGGGGATTATTTTTTATTTTTTATTTTTTAGGGTATTTTTTTATTTTTTAGGGTATTATTTTTTAGGGTAATAATCCCTTAAAAAAATTTGTTAATCCACCAGTCGACTAACAACCAAATTCCTACTTACTGCTAGGTAAACTGGGTTCAAGCCTTGACATCAAGACTTTGAACTCGTACAGTCTAGTTGAACTCTAATACAGTGCCGGGGGGGGAAGGGCTGCTGCATTATTGAAGTGCTGTCCTACTGCTGAGATGTTAAATCGAGGTCCCAGCTTCCTGTTCAAGGCAATTATTTGAAAAGAGAGGTGTCGACAATCCCCCAAATAAAATTGATCATTCACTTTGTGACTGTTTGTGGGTGGGACATTGCTGTGTGCAAATTGACAAAATAAATAATCCTTGCATTTGATCTAGTGCTTAAAAGGTCAGAACCTCTCAGAGTGCCTCGTGGGGATTTGTATGTTTTGTAGGTGAACCTGTGCACAGTAAATTCTTGGGTCATTATAGACTAAAGTGTTGTGAGTACAGTAAAACCTGCACATGTCAGATCTGTATAAACTGTATCATTGCCTAAGTCATAAATCTGCTCAAGTCCCATTGAATATCCTGTTATTTATGTTACACATAACTCATACTTTGCACAAGTTATATTAAATGTGTGGTCCCATCTGATATGACTTACTTGAGGTTTACTGTATTAGCCGGTGGGCTATCTGTGATTGCTCCGGTGATGCAGATACAAAGTATCTCCCTGAGAGGTCTTTGTATGTAGAGTTGGTCCAGATGTCTTGTTGGGAAGACACCTGGAGCGACTCTACATGCAAAGACCTCTCGGGGAGATACTTGATATCTGCATCACCGGAGCAATCGCAGATAGCCCACCAACCTGAGCGACCTTGTGGGACCTCATCATCTCAGTGTTTTAATCATAGCAAGCCTTGCATTTGATATAGAGCCTTATCATCTCATCAAGGTGTCTCAAAGTGCTTCACAGGATACAAGTGCTGTGGCTGATTTCTGGATGAACACAGCAGCCAATTTGCACACAGCAATGTCCCACAGCCGTGAAATGGTTGACCATTTTTTTTATTTGGGGGATTGTTGGCCAGGACACCGGGAGAAACTCGCTTCTCTTTTCGAATAGCCCTGCGGGATCTTTAACGTCCACTTGAACCGGCAGACGGGACCTTAGTTTAACATCTCATTGGAAGGACAGCACCTTAGACAATGCAGAACTCCCTCAGCACTGCATCAGAGTGTCAGCCTAGACTATGTGAGTTCATGTCCTGAGTGTGGCTTGAATCTAGGACCCTCTGACTCAGAGGTTAAAGTGCTACCAACTGAGCCATGGGTAAAGACCATGTGGGTA